TGTCAGCAAACAACACGCCAGCACGTACACAAATACAATGCATTTATGGTTACTGCGATTACTGTTAGATAACCCCCCCTAAAGTTTATTATTACGTGATGGTTGCTGATCATTTTCATATGATCGAAAGGGGGTGCTTATTCACGAGAGGATACGGTATCTTTATTCTTTCGTTTCAGTGAGTATCCAATTCTAGTAGGACGGTTCGGGTAAACGAACTTTATCGGTATAAACCAGTTATCGGTATAAAGAATATCAGTATAAAGAGGTTTGACTGTATATTACTCTATGGTATTATTGAGTATATTTTCTCATTCTCGAAGCAGCAAATACCCTTTAATAATATAAACGTTTAAAATTATAGCTAGCATGTAACTAAACACTCATCAATGGATGTGTCTCTCGTACAATTAATAAATACAACATATCCAAAAACTTGACGGGATTAATTCAAAAACCTATCGGTTGGGGAAATTATCTCTCTTTACACTAGTATTAAATTAAACAATAATCTTGATGTCAAATATCTAAATGGACTTGATGGCAAGTATTTGCTGCTGACAGGAAAAGCGGTTACACTTCGCCAGCAACGCGCTGTATCTTCACCAGGAAGAGATTAACTGAAGATGCTGCTAGGCTATCATCTACGATTCGTTTCATTAAATTGTCAAATTGTCGCAATTTCGACAAATGGGGAAATTCTCGGAGTGTCCTGAAATTTCGATATATTGGTCACAGTTTCTGTCCGATGCGGTGCGGTCATTTTTAGTGACATGACTACGCCTATTTTCTGCTGCGCAATGATTACAATTGTGCTGATGTTTGTACCACTGAGTTGTTTCAATAAAGTTCTAAATTATAAAAAATACGTCATGTTTTATGATCAATCAATTATTATTTTTTCAGAGCCCACTTACCTATGTTGCAATGCCTATCTATTACTTAATCGAATCTGCTATTATCTACGGCTCTATTTAACTAATTCTCGTTTCACTAAATTGTTTGGATATATCCCGGACAATCTATTTTAGTTGTCCAGATTTTTAGCTTACTTGTGGATTTCGTATGCTGCGGAATCGGAAATCACGGAGGAATACGTCATACTTAGGCCTCAATCCTGACACCAACTTTTTGTTAAGTAGCTTTGCATGTTTGTAAAATTTCAAATGCTGTCAACTAAGGAATGTGTGAAACCATTTAACTCCATGTTGTACATGTAGATTTTAATCACCAATGCAATGTTTTTATATTTTAGTTCATATAATCTCCAAGAGTCGTCATTTTTATGTATTTAGTATTGTTAAATGACTTCTACTAGATCCTTGGGTATTGCATAGGTTCATTTCTGAAAGTGCCCAAAAATGGTTGTGAAGTGTTGCGGTCGGTGTATTCTTTGGGTGGGAGAGCCAATGATCTGTCGCGTAGGTGTGTTCGCCGACAGGGGGATATTACCAAATTTAACTCAAATCGCTACCCCTACTAATAGCGATTGTCTTTACGACTGAATCAAATTTATAAGTAACTATATTTAATTGCGCGCTTTACTAACTCCCTAGACGAAGTATAACCTATACTCGTTTCTAAGTAAGGGCCTATGACAATACCGTTACACTACAATATTGCCACAGAATCGAAGGGGAATATTTATATTTAATTTAAAACAGGGCGGTCTTTGATTTAGTGTTTTGACTAGTCGGGTATCTTGTCACTTCTAATTATTACTATAACTAATTAAACGGTAAACGGGAGAGTCGATGTCGAATATTAATATTGACTTGCGTGCACTCTTAAAAGGTGTATCTTGCTTCAACAGATATATCGCTAACCGAAGTATCTGCGAATGGTCTGTAAGCAAGCTATCTCAGACTCCAATCCGGATTCAAGTATCAATATTTAACGTCGATAAATAGAAAGATAATAAAATATGGATAGTATATGATTAAGTATTCAAAAGGAATTCGTAACAAATTTTATTTCCTTGGATATGTTCTAATCCATGTATTTAATAGATCAATATTATTCAACGTAAGGAACTAAACAACATATGAACCGAACAACATGAGGATTCGATGATGAGGGAAGCCCTTCTTATATAAGGCTTGCCACCAAAAAACGTCACGAAAACTACTAATTTCGTACTGCCACCGAAAAACGTCACGAAAATTACTAAACTTAGCTATTGTTTGTATCTCGTACTGCCACCATTTTCCGTCCCGAAAATTACTACATTTGAACTCTAGTGTGACAATACTAAAATTAGATCGCTGCGGGTAGTATTTCGACTGCGGAGGAAGATTTTATCACCTGACTTGCTCGACTGCGTCAGCAGACCGACTCGTCGTGACAGTGTGTATTCCTCCCATTCTTCCTCCAGTTTCTGGACTTCTACTGACTGTTTGAATTCATATTCTATAAATAAGCAACAAATCTGATTCTTGCCTCTCCAATATTATGAGTTTAAATATAACTCAGCTGATGGCTTAAATGCTTTAAGAAAAATACCTAATGCGTGTAAAGTGTGGGTCTAAAGTGACTATCACCTGACCATACGTCTTCCTTTTAGGCCAATATAATTGAAAAAACACATACATACAATTCGTTACATTATTTTAATTTGAATTTTGCAATTTTTTAGGTCTACCTTTTAATCACATTGGAAAATTTGATTTGAGAAGTCTCAACTTTGTAAGAAATAAATTTAACCTTTCACAAGACAAACAATTTACTCAGATATGATTAATATGACAGCATTACGGCCGCAATGATAAACAGAGCATTCAAACATGCTCTTGGACTCAGCATTATTGAACTGCTCGGCTTGCTTGTACTACTTGTACTGCCTGTAGGGGTGGCTGCTGACGTTGTCGTACTAACATTGGGCTTAGGAGGTTCATAGGTAGATGCTAGTTACAAGAAAAAAGAGGGGCGGAATTAATTGACGAAAATGGAACAAAAGTTTGACTTAAATATATTATTTCTACTTACGTTCGCTGCCAGCGGCTTTGATGTCAAATGGCTCTGAAGTAGCCACAATATTTGAAATATTACCGATATTTGTAAAAATGAGTTTATAACCTATGAAAGAAATGTGCAGGATAGAACATGCAAATTAGTATACAATTTTCAATAAAATGAGTGCGAAAAGTAAAACGTTTACATCGTTATAAGTACCTTGCACTACGCCAAAGGTCATAAAATTTGGCACAATAATTGAATGATTTTTTGTAGCGGTCACTACGTTATTGGCTAAGGCGTATTGTTTCAAAGTAGTAATATTCTATGATTGATAGTAATGGTAAGAGTGTTAGTGATATGTAATGGTTAATTAGTGTTTGTAGTCGTCAACGGAATACTTGCAGGATTAGTCAGAAAAATAGAAAAACTCGTTGGATCATTAGTTGCGTCGGTTGAATTCCATAACAGGACTGCTGTAGTATTGGACACTAGCCAATACGCTGATGACGGATACAGAATTTCGATCTCGGCTAAACAATAGAACGAGTTTAGCGATACAAAATGCGCAGTTGGGTAATCAGTCGACCGTCGCATTCATACCTGTTATGAGTAAAGCTAAACAAGCAAATGCGACGGCTGTCGCAACGCATTTCATGGTAGGCAACTGCCGAAGGGTATGTGACAAATGAAAAGTGAAAGTACTAGATGTTGAGATAATCACCTTATAAATATACAAAACTTTGTATCAAAAAAAAGACCTGTTATAGGAAGTGATTTGATTACGGCGTTTTTCTCACAATAAATTCTACCTATTCCGAAAAGTATCTACCCAAAATGAGACTTTTGTATTACAAATTCCAGATGTCGTTCAATGTCGTACAAAGAATGCATAACTTTGTTTGAATCTAAATAAGGTCTGACAATCCCGTTAATAGTTTTTTGTCTTTCAATATTAGGTGCCATTTGTAAATATAGCTTCCGGTACACATATCTAAATTTACATTCACTTAATCTTCTTGTACGTTGTCATACAACATAATGTTATTGTCTGCCGCAATAAACTTTATCAATTTGACGTCATCAAAGGATCAAGATAAGGATTTATTAAACACGGGTGATATAGTTATTTTTTACATCACATTAGTGGTGTGTTCTGTGCTTAATCGATGCTACTCGACTCCTTCATGTGTGAGTTTGACAGTAATCGTTTACCGAGCATTTTCTGTCGATAAGTAATTAGGATAATAGTAATCAACCATTAATTAGAATACGTATTAGAAAAGTCTTTGATATAAATATGTGAACAACTGAGACTTGTTTTTTTTAGAATGTTACTCAAGTATAGCCACAACAAATATTGTGCGTGAATTAGATTAATTCCCGTTTGTTTAAGTTAACAAATAGTAAGTCACTATTGATGCCACTCGAATATGATTCGTTTATAAGGTAACTTTATTAATCTAGTATAGCTAAATCTATTGGGTCTTTAACAGATAATATGGTGCGTATAATTTACTGAGCGGAAGAATAAATTCGCAGGTTGCGAAAATATTCAAACGCGCCAAGTTAGGAAACGTCTACAAGCAATAATGCTAACAAACATTCCCAACATACTAACGCTTACAATTAATTATTACGTTGCTAATTAAGACAATTGTCTTATATCATAACTGAACTTGGAACTTTTCTACTTGCATAAATTTGTTCGTCTTTAACATTGTACCTATTATAAGTGCCAATATATTTTATAACTCATGAATTTAAGTTATACTTCAGCTGCTTTTGCAAATATAGAATTCCATGTTATGCAAGGCATAGTTACTCCTTATTGAACAGACGTTAATGTTAGTTACATTATAATAAACAGAGGACCATTGCAGCGGTTTATGCATGTACTTGACTTTTGAGTTTATCAATATTATTCGAGATGTACTGTACTTGTAAATTGTATAAAGATATCTAAATGCAACTAAATTTAATTGTTCACTTAAATATTCCTTGCTAATATTAATATTGTGTTGAGCATTTTTTAACATAAGACGTAGTCAAATAATTGTTGTATCTTCAAAAGTCATACCCATATATTATGAACGAAGTCAATGTATTAATCTTGGTGAAGCAATAAGTTAAGCTTTAATAAATCCTGCTTCTTACCACAATTTAATCCGTTATACCGAATCATATTTCCAACAGAAAAGAATTTTTAATCCCCTTTGAGTCTAAGATTATCTTATTATTTTATCTGGCATATGGGAATGTAAATGCAGCGAAGGAAATTTATTTTACATACTGTATATCTTCAAATCGTTCGTTTTGTCTGTTCTTGTTTGCATTTACCTCCACAAGTGGTAAACAATTATTGTCTGTCTAGTCAGGAACTGCATACATGTAAAATAGCGTTAGTTAGGATAACGGTAAAATGACAATTAAACTTTAATCATATACTTACAAAACAAATTGTAGTAGGTAGATTGACGCTTTTTTCTTTAGCAGGGCTTGTAATATTGATTCGACGCAATTTAACGTAGCTATTATTTCTTAGTGGCGGGTACTTTTCTGTCACTTGAAAATTCGCCCACTAGACGTTTTAAATGTAGATGTACTTTCCATTCCGATATCGTGCGTAGCTCCGTAGTAAATATTAATAATAGACATTCGTCCATTGATCAACCCACCCTACATTACCATAACAACTTTCTCAATGTTCGCGCAGCCTTCAACAATAGCTTTAACCAAATTTTCTGCTTTCGTCTTGTACCTGTTTAATTAATAAGACAATGTTACTTGGAATAAAATTACTTTTCAGTTCATAGAATGACAGTCCTCAATAATTTTATTCAAATAGATTGCAGTATCCATCAAAATTACAATTATTTAATTTGTACCTAATATGAGTCTCTAATCGCAATGAGAATAAGGTAAAAAAAAAAAGAAAAAAAGAAAAAAAGAATAGCATGCATATAAAGTTACCAGTATTGTGAGCGCTATCATCTTCGGTGTAATATAAGAGTCAAATCTTCCTGAAACAAAAGCGCAAAGTATCGTAAAGTGTGGCTATTGTTGAGAACGGAAGGATAGTTATTTGATTTATTTACTAAACGTTTTACGTTGCAAAAATAATTTGAGTTATTATTATGTAAGCATGCTGTAATAATAATGATAAAGTTCTCTTACCTTAAGTTTCATTAGTTGCAATTACTCAACTTGTATAAATATCTAAGTAGCAAAACTCAAGCCGTAAAACGACTTTGTTACCTACGCTTTTCCATTTAGCTATGGAGAATAATTTACAAGCTTCTCAGATAAGTAGTACATGCTTCTCAATTGCTCAAAGCTATGTTGAGGAATAAAATTAATTGTCTCAGTAGTATGGCAAAAGCTTTGAAAAATTTTTTTAGGTCGACATCAGGCCAGTAACTGATATAATATCTAATTATACGACAAATGCTGCTTCTTCCCATCCTTTAAATTAAATTGCCTCGGAAAATAGAAGCGTAAGTAGCTGTATCGTTAAAAGATTATTAATATGTGTACAAATAAATAATCGAAATTTGTTAGAATTGTTACTTGTACTATTAATTCAAGCGTCAGTTGTAAAACTTTTGTCTTGACGGATTACAAACTTATACTGTAAATATACTTGTATGTTGCAGTTGGAAAATCTCCAACATCGTTAACAGTATTCAAAAAGGTAAGACAAACCTTTCTTATATGAGTGGAGGACGTAAGTAAATTAAATAGAGACTGGGATATGTCAATCTACTCTGATCAAGTACCGAAAACGTTGACAAAAACAAAGAAAGCTTTCTGTGAATTAGAGCCGTCATGGAAAAGAAACAATAATTTATAATAGGTGTCTAGATGTTATTATAACTACTGACAAAGTAATTTCGGCTTAGCCAGCCACCATTCACAAAATTGGTATAAAAATTAATGTAATAAATATTGTTGCGTACATTTAAAGAACTAGCTTGCTAAGGTTAGTAGCTAATAAGCATTTATGGTAACAAAAGCGCCACATAATTCTGATTGTACGCCGCATAATTCTGATTGTATGCATAATTTACCTCTTGTGTATTTTTCTACCAGCAGCGAATTTTCCCATCGAACGTCAAGTTGATGAGTTGATTATCAATGTACTGCGGTCTATAAACGGTGTAACAGTCATCGAAACTTGTTTGCATTGGGGGGGCGTTTGACAGAAGAATAGTGAAACAAATGGGGTGGGTTTTTGTTGCTAAGGAACAAGGTACTTTACACCCTTTTTACTACTTACATCGTAAACAAGGTATTTTTTACGAAACACGGGTTTAAAATATCAACAAATATTAATATTAACTCGGGCAAATGTAACTTGGTGTAACCCGGTCATAATAGGCGGCCAATGATTCAGCGATCATGTGCTACCACTATTCAGAAATTACATCATATCGAGCGCTTCTTATCTCTACGAATTATAGATCTGCTGCAAATCGTAGCATATGCTGTTCTGAGACCGTTGATATAGTCCGTAACACATTAATGTTTTCTTTTTTGCTGCGCAATTGCACAGGGTTCTTCGTGCTACTAAGCCCGCTTTTTCTTTTATCAATCCCCTGCAATACTGCACGGCATAGATCTCTATCAGGTTGTGCGACCAAAATTATACAACGTGTCTCATAATTAATGAATAGAATCAGATCAAATACTAACGTAACAATATCATTGTCTATACGTTTTCAACGGGTACATTATAGTAAATGGTTCTTGTAATTTTATTTTGTATAAAAAACGACTATTTAATATACATAACTAGCCCGGATCACTCTTTCAATTTACTAGTAAACAAATTTTGTTGTCTGTATATACTGTATTCTTTAAGGCTAATTTGCTCGTACCGTATACAGTTTAGTCTGATAAAGTGGAAGCATGTACATAATCTATATAACAATAATGTGTTAATTATTTACTTTAAAACAATATAAATTCTGTTACTTACGTAGTATATGCGGACAGCAGAATTAAACAAGAATTTTTGTATTATTAGTAAAATCCAATTTTGACTAATATAGTACATAGACAATGATTTATTGTTTATACCATTATGTAATATTATATTTTACTATTGAATTAGGATCTTGGCATGTTCTGTACCTTGACCTTCTCGCTTGTAATAAAATAATTTCTAGCTCACTTAATAAGTATTTCACACAACATTAACCAACTGATAACTATGTTTAATGTTTATATTTCTTTGCAATGAGGCTATATTTTTGTATTTGCTTGACTTTTGTCTGTCTTTAACATCACGCTGCGTTTTACTCAACCTCCAAAGGCATATGCCAATAAAATTTTTCAACTCACAAATCTCGAGCAGGTTTTCTTTCTACTGCATCAGTATAGAATTTTCGCACGTTGTGCATGGTTATCTTCTTTTTGTCTAATTATTTCTTATCTTTGTGTTGATAAGTCTTATTGTTGGGGGCTTTACTTAAATAGAAGTTTATTGTCTGCATCATAACATGATAGATCGGATATATCTATCTCTCTACATCATGTACTTGATCTAAAGGCGTATCTCCGAAATGTACTAGTAATTAATCGAGTCTGACATTAGTCTAAACCTTTTGTTACCGAATATTATGTGCAAGTACTATGTAAGAATAACTTTTACAGATTATCAAAAAAGCCATTGTATCAGCGCTATAAAGCGCCAACATGCTAGTGATATACGTGTTTCGCAGACGAATACTGCGTACGTGTAACATACAGAATGTAGACTGAAGCAGGGCCATTTAAACGCACTTATCGGACGTTTTCAAATAATATCAATCAATGCATTGAAGATCCGGAAAATAACATGTTATAAGCATTTTCTCCGATAGAGTGATTCTACTGATAGAACGATAACGCATCCAATAGCTTCTAACGACACAAGTTACACAAATGTTATTCAGATCAGAAAAGGAAGTTTTGCTAATTCAAAGCCACAAAGTAATTTATTAGCTACATTAAATCTTACATAGTTGTAGACAATATTTGATTGCTCTTTATAAGCACGACATATAACAATAGCCAGCACATTATTGCATTCGGCGTTCAGCCCTAGCAAGTCTTGTGATGTCTGCAAACAAACAATTGCAATGTCATTGGGAAAAGTTTATCTTTATTACAATAAAGATTATACAAAAGGAAATTTATAGCTAACATGTAAACCAGTAGTATACTTAGCACGACCAGCGCAAAAAGTTTGAGTGAAAAAAAAATTGTTGGGAAAAAACAAAAGTTAATTATTTATTCTAGAATATTGTAAGAACTAAATGTCCCATTAATCCCTCTTTTGAATGGGTTTATTAGTTATTTCTTATCTATCTAGATTAACAACTTTCCTTCCTAATGAAACACTAAATTTGGTGTCGACACACTGTGATGCATCTGTTCATACTTTTTGCTTGCAATGAGTTTACTATTTACCCACTTTTGCTTTGACAATTTCTTCATAGACGTCTTATTTCCTCGTTGCTTGCCAAACAGATTCATAAACCTCTTGTAAACGCTATCTTCTTGTGGATAGAAAAACTCAAACGGGCACGAAAATTCCGTGGGTGTTATCCACCTTTCACCGCTTCTCGTCGGTTTCACATTTTCAGGAGTGGTGCTCACAGTGTATGAGAATGAATACGACAATTGCAGATTATTGTTGCTGTATCGATTGATCTTATGTGTTTTGTTGAAAGTTCCCGAGTTTTTGATGGAAATTGGCGCCGTCTTTGGAAGAAAGTTTTCTTTCGACAAGCACGATATCTCGTTGTTGTTATCGGTCATCAATGCCACATTATATAAATTAGGCTTGCGTACAACTGCCGAATTGTAGAATTTCATTTGCCTCTGAGTTTTCGGCTTGAAAACCAGATTGTTTGTGGCCTTGTCAACGTGAGAAAAGCGGAATTCGACTTGGGGTTTCAATTTGTATTCTTGGTTGAACGAAAGCCTTAATGTGAGTTCTGGTGATTCGAAGGATTTGATGATATATTCGCATGATAAGAGGTTGAATAGTTTGCATGTATCAGAGACCGCGAAAAGGGATGCTATGTCGAGCATTTCGAAAATCATAAGAAGAATTTCGTTTGGAAGGGAAAGAAAAGATGTAATGAATGCCATATTGTTAATCATAGTGGTGGTGTTGGGGATAGGGACGACGATGGTGTTTTGGATCATTCTATGATATAGAAATCGTATCAATAAAGCGTCCACGATTCAGAAACAAATTTTCGATGTGAAATAAAAAGTGTCTGTAATTTCAAGGCGAGTCAGTCTATTGCATCGATTTTTCGATAGGTGATTTCGACGTTGAGGATTTGTTTCCCGTTTTTTGGGAATGAAAGGAAATGGCGTATTTATGTTGGTTGCCCTCAGAAAATTATTTGGAGTACATGTCCAAATGGGAAGCTGGCGAATTAACCTAAAATTGTGTTAGTAAGCTTTTGCATCAAATCAACAACAATATGAATGCATGCGTTGATTTAAATAAAGATAAGCTCTGTAATAGTTATATAAAAATTTTAGTCAACACATTGAAGCGTAAGGATGCAACGTTGTTAAAAGAACATTCTAAAAACAAATGCATTATCTATCAAACAAAAGTAATTTTTATTGTTGTCCTAATTTATGATATTAGAATAACTATAAGTATCTTTTTTATCGCCTGTATCATCTAACGAACATAAGATGACCTCCTTAACTTTATTGCAGCCTAATACACATTGTACTGTTATAGGTTGTAAACGGTTTCTGACATAAGTTGGGCACTCTTTCACATAAACACACGCAAATATTAATACCATTCGCAGATAGACTAAATGGATTGCTGGAAAGGCAAGTTTAACCTATTGAGTAAAAGACACTGCAAAATTTATCTGCAGAAAAGCCGGGTTGGCACACAGAGCAACAACAAAACAATCGTAATGGGATACCAAGAAGAAACACGATATAATAGTATCTTAAATCGAAGAGCAGAGTGTAAAGATTAGCATGGATACCGCAAATAGCGGAGATAAGTATTCTAACAAAATTCTCAAACCTTGTCCTCTTGTCCTCTTATTCACTATGCACTATCTGCTTATAAATGATTATAGTAAAAAAGTGGGAAAAGAAACAATGTCGATTGGAACGGATATTAAAAACGCGTGGCATCCAGTAAACCTGCATCCAGTAAACCTAAAGTAAAACCGTTGTTATCGGCAAAGTTGGGAGACAGCATGAGATAAAGCTCACTATAAATACAAGCAACGGCTATACGTTGTATTAAATAGTTTGGTTAGTTACGTATTTTTTGACAAACAAGTTAGAGACTGACAATTCGTTTCAGTAAAGACTGTAAAAGATAAAGTATTGACAAGAGCAAACAGCGTTTTGTAATATAGAGCGGTCATCAGGAAAACATACAATGGGAGGTAAAAGTGCAATGATATATTATTATAACCTAATTAACTAAGTTAATTTTCAAGACCTATCTATAACACACGTTGTTAATACAATGTTTGTTACATTAATTTTTAAGAGAAATCAACAACGCTGGTACTGCCAAGCGTTTATGGTGAGCAAACAAATATTATATATTTTGATTATATGCAACACCCACTCACTCGTGTGTTGTTGAAGCTAGAAAACATGTCGCAGACGAAATATCAATATACGTTAAAAAGACAAGCAAGTTTTTTGACGGAGCCAAAATAGTGTTTAGAAAACTGTTTGCTTTCCTCTCCCCCATTCTTAGCAAATCATTTCCAAATAGTAACATGTACTGCGGTCTATAGACGAGAGTGTAACCTTCCATCAAAGGCATTTGGGCTTACCAAAAAATAGCGAAACAAATGACTTTTTTTTTTAAAACCTTTCCCCATCCCATACCCATCCCATTCCCATCCCCATCCCCCTTTCTCCTTTCTTACACATGTACATAATATTAAAAATATACCGTAAACCGGGTACTTTTTGGCGAACAGGGAGTTCAAAAATCAAATATGACTGTGTTATTATTAGTAGAAGTGAATGATTGGCGCAAATGTAACCTGATGTAACCATAAGCCACGGGATAGATTTCTCACTTAACAATAGTTACGCTATATTGCGTGCTATTTGTATTATTGTCTCTGACTATGCAAAATGTGATACGTTACGCAAGGTAGTCTGACACCCAGAGCAATTTTCTAGACTTCTTTTCAGATAGGCAGTAACATGGCGTTTGGTTTTCGGCCGTGTAATCGTTATCAATTTGTGATTCAAATCATCTTACAAACAATATCGTTGTTCGTGCATGTTCAAAAATTGAGTATCTTATAGTGTAGTGTAAGCATTAAACTATAATCTCCTTAATGTTGTTCCAGCGCTTATAATGTGATATATTTACTGTTAATATCAAGTTTAAGCAGATGACTTTATTTATTCTAGTCTGATTGTTTAAATTGAGGCTTGAGCCTCATTGTTGGGGACTTTACTTAAAAAGAAGTCAATTAGTAGATCGAGACATTCGACACGACATTATGCACTCGAATTCAGAGCCTAACTCCGAAATAGACTAGTAACTTGTATAAATAGCATAATTGAGCATGACAACTAACTCCGACATTTCAAAAAAGTCGTGTGTACTAAATAGTCGCCATTATAAAACGCCAGCATGATATACGTGTTGTGCATATGAAATAATGCAGTACGTTGTCGTTGTAGTGTAACGCACACAAATGCAAACTTGCAGAGCTTACGGCTACCTGATAATTAAAACGTACTTATCGGGCATGTTGAATAAGACTAACATTTAATTAACATCGAAATTACATACTGTAAGCATTATAAAAGTCAATCTAAATAAACTTTATATGTATTAAAATAACACGGTTGTTATTCAAAAGCTTGCCCAACCAAAGCCCATAAAGCAATCTGCATGCTCTTGTGTTCACCACAATGATTTTTACAATGTGTGCAGTGATTGAATTGAACAATCGACACACACATTGTAAGCTAAGCAAATATTCGGATGCTTTTATAACACGCACATAATAACGCCAAGCCTTGTGATCTCTACACCTAATAGTTTTTGCCTCCTAAAAAATGTCAACAAGAATTAGTCGTTTTGAATGTATATATTAGTTTGTAAAGGGTTTGTTGTAGGAACAATACTCTTGCTTTATATTCTCTTGCTTTTTTTTTCTTACTACTCATACTTTGTCTTATTAAAATTTCCTTGTATGTTCTTAATTAATATTCAGTCGGATTTCTATTTTTAAATCGCAATTTTATTGGGTCAAATTTATTTACCATCGGAAAGAGGTGGGGTACAAAACTATAACCCTTGAATTTCTTTAACGGTTAGTACCGGCTAAAAACAGTATTGACGAACACAAGCCCCCATGGGAATATTCTTTATATGGATGTACCCGACAACACAAAAGGTTCCGATGTCATACAGGTATCACCCATGGAACATGATGTAACTTGCGCCATTCAACAACAAAGGATAAATGTATTACTTGCATAATTTCTGTTACAGTCGCACCATGGATACGGGAATTTGCATTCGACGATCATTTTTATTTTCAAAATTTTTTATTCTTTATTACATTAAGAATTATTTACAGTTAAAAAGTATAAACTAATAATGGTAAGTTCAGCACGACCAGCGTATAGTCGGAAAACTATTTTGTTAGTGGAAACAATTTAATTTGTCTATATGGTAGAAATCAAGCGTCTATATTCGTTTTCTCTCTCTCTTTCAAATGCTTCATTGGTTACTTTTCTTATTATTTGGGGGGGAGGGGGAGTGTTTTTTTTCTTAATTTTAGTTACTGACAGGTGTTGGTACGCTTCGATTTGTCTCTTCATATTTCTTGGCTTCGATGGCTTTATTATTCCTCCACTTTCTCTTTGACAATTTCTTTGTCGGTGCCTTGTTTTGTCGTTGTTTGCCAAAGAGTTTCGTAAATATCTTGGAAATGCTCTTTCCTTGTGGATAAAAGAAGTCGATAGGGCACGAAAATTCTTCGGGTGTTACCCATCTCTCTCCACTTCTCGTCCTCGCTATATTCTCTGGAGTGGTGCTTACGGTGTATTTGAATGTGTATGATAATGGATGGTTATCTCGATGGATCTTATGTGTTTCGTTGAAAGTTCCATAATTCTTGATGGAAAGTGGCGATGCCTTTTGAAGAAAGTTTTCTTTCGACAAGCGGGATACCTCGTTGTTATCGGTTGTCAATGCGGCGTTATATAAAGTAGGCTTGTGTACAACTGCCGAATTGTAGAATTTTATTTGTTTCTGAGTCGTCGGTTTGAAGACTAGATTGTTTGAGGACTCGTCAACGTGAGAAAAGTGGAATTCGACTTGGGGTTTCAATTTGTATTCTTGGTTGAATGAAAGCCTTAATGTGAGTTCGGGTGATTCGAAGGATTGGATGATATATTCGTATGATAAGAGGTTGAATAGTTTGCATGTATCAGAGACCGCGAAAAGGGATGCTATGTCGAGCATTTCGAAAATCATATGGAGGATTTCGTTTGGAAGAGATAAGAGAGATGTAATGAATGCCTTTTTGCTGATTACGGCAGTGTTGGTGGTGGAGATAGGGACGATGGTGTTGCTGAACATCATTGTAGTAGTTGTATATATGTGTATGCGATGCGATAAAAGTGTCTTTGGTTGCAAGTAGGTACTTTTGATTTGAGTGGAATATTCAAGGTTTTTTCTAGTTCTATTGTGTCTATTATATCTGTTTTCAGATTAGACAAATCCAAATTTTCTAATTTTTTGTCTTGGGGGGGGGTGGCGTATTTATACTGTTTGATCTTCACAAAGTTTTTATTTCGACAATTACATTCCCAATTAAGAGTTGGGGCGTATACATTGTGAGGAAATATACTATTAAGTATTGTACCAACTAACAAACAAAAATAAATGCATAATTGTTCAGTCGGCTTGTGTTAACAATGCATGAACCCAAATAAAGGAAAAGCTCGGCTTTCCCATCCCAGCGTTCTCATTTGTAGAAAGGAAGAAGAAGAAGAAGAAAAAAAAAGAGATGCAGGCAGGTAGAGTATTAATGGACGCTCTATGTGGCTTACCGTACATAAACAATGTGTCGGTAGGTTAATTAGAGTTGATAGACATAGCAGTTCAGGTGGGTGGGATAACTAAAACAACGCTAAGCGATTATGGCAAGAAAGGATTAGTAAGAGTTTGTTTATTATAGCGTGGCGTTATAAAATATTACATCAACATATAGAATGTCATAGCATATATACAACTGCGTGCTATAAGAGACTTTGCCATATTTACTTTAGCTGCACTTATTATTCCCTTACTTCAATACTATGGTAATGCATATCTCATATTGTGACATAAGACGTTTCGTTCTACAGTGCCACAAAAACAATGTGTTTTTTCCTGCAAATAAAGATTGTCTATTCTTCCCCGTACTTTCTGCTTGTACGCAAACATTACGAAACATTCAATCGTTTTTTTTTTTACCTCTCGGCTGTTTGTCTGTCTCTTTATTTACTGTAACACAACATCTGTGTATCATTTCCTTAAAAGTAAATTATAATCAGTGAAGCATTCTCCCCTCCCTCTCCCCTCCCTCGTCCCCACTCACCCTCCTCCTCCCATCGGCTATGTGAGATGGCCGATGTCCTTTGCAGGAACGTTCTCTCATTCAATAGGAAAAAAAAAAAACCACCACAATTAATTAGCAAGGGAAAACTTTTCATCAGCAAAGTATAGTAACACATCGAAGATATAATTGTTGGATGGAATTCGAAATGGGCAAATATGTACAATATGTAAACCATAACCAGTACCATACTCTGTGCAGCAAAAAGTATTCATTGTGTGTATTCATTGTACGTGAGTGTTCGTTGTTTGTGGGCGGGAGTTGTGTAATGAGAAAGCAAAAACTTGTACAACAATACCGAATGATGCAAATATTTTCCAACGCTTCTTCTCACTTCTTCTCCATGCTCCTTCTATTGACTGTTGTCAACTACTCGTATTCAACAACAAAGCTCCGGTACTACACACACGCAGTCGATCGTTTCTCATTAGCCCGAACCCCAAAGCCATTTGGCTGCTTAATAATTTGCACGTCTGTGGCAGGAAACTTTAAATAGGTATCACTGCTGGACTATCGAAACGACGATTCGTGCGAGAGTGTGGCGAAGGTTAGTTTTGTCACAATTTAGGTAAAAATAATTGTAATTTCGAGTTAGCTAAAAATGGTATGCTTATTTGAACCGACTGGTTGTATAACGCTTCTAAAAATAGTTTAATAATGATTAATGATTGATAAGATAATAACTGCCACAACGATAAACAAATGTCAATTTACTTTGACAGACTCTATAAAGATACGATATTAGCTATTTTTATTGCGTTTTTAGCCATAAACTTGGATCCCAAATGTTTGATACATATCTCATTGTCCCATCGCATATAGCGATGACCTTTGCAGTCTGACTATATTCTTTATCAAAAAATCTATAATCTGACGTAATATCCAAAAATGTACTGCTACTATGATTCACTTACCAAATAAAGTATTTGTGAAATGCGGGCGGCAATCTTCAATTGGTCGATCTGATGCCTAATAAAGACCTCGAAAACTCAATTGGTCGATCTGTACGTCCTTGGCATAAGTAAATGAAACCGGTTGAGCAAACAATACTGGTGCTTAGACCCCTTTTTTTTTTCTCTAACGGGTCCTCCCTAATTGAAATAATCAATGCCTCTTTCCTTTTCCAACAATCAAGACTCTTTGCATCAAAGGCGTTTAAACATGTTTCATTAATACTCGGACAATGAAATTAAGAAAGACCCAAATGCACCCGCATATGAGCATGCATTTTCTAGACAATCTGCTGCTGTTGTTGTTGTAAGATCATGTACTGTACAGTGGTCTATATGCAAGTATACACGATGAGCATATTAACAAAGCTAATACAACGCCGTTCAAATGGGTTGCACATCTCCTTTAATGACGTCTTCAGTAAAACGTATTGTTCATAACATACGATTTTTAAAATTCGGGGTTAAAGTTGCGCAAGGAGAAGATAGATCCGAAAACAAGTTAATTATTATCAACAAAATCTAGTGTCCAGCGGAAAAACCCTTGTTGGAAAAAACTGGCTGAACACAGGTAACATCCAGCGGAAAAGACCCTTGTTGGAAGAAACTGGCTGAACACAGGTAACAGAAAACAAGTCTTCAAAACCAACCAGAAAGTGACGAATGATAAACTACCTTGCGTTACATGTTGTTGATAATGATTTTGTTTCGTCGATCACAACAATCTGCATGACCCCAGAATAATCGGAGGTTAATTGTATTCGGAATCAACAGTCAACAACCAGTTGTTGTTTTTAATTGGTTATCTGCTTACCATTCTAGAACAGAACAAAGCGCCAAACAATGTGGAAAACGCCCAACTTGAACTATTTTTACTTGGAAGAAACAACATGCTACATCCTGTTTCTTCCTGTTTACTCCAGTGTTGAACACTCTCTAAAAGGTTTTACTATAACAATGTTGTGATAAAATTAGTACTTAGAACAAGTCTACAATCAAACTATTATGTCTTCGGGAATACTATTATGCAGAGAAAGCAATGGCTATTATAATCTTGGCAGCGGTATTTACGAGTTCCATATGTTACTTTGTGCTTTTATTATTAACAACTGCCTGTACATACAATAAATGATTGAATCAGGTAATCTTTAAAAAAGCTAACAAGCATGCTCTTGTTTAGCAGCTTTTGATAAATTGTTAACGTTAATTTAGTTATAGGTTTTAAAGTTTAAAAGTATTACATATAAGTTGTTCTTTTTAGGAAATGGTTTGACTTATTTTATTTTACATTCTTTATTCGGAAATTATAATGTGTTGTTTATGGAAGGCTTGTCGGAAACAAAGTGAATAATTATTACAAAATTTGTCACAATTTACAAACATTTGCACGTACATTAGAGTTGAGCAAAAAATAAACAAAGAAATATATTATAAATTTGTTTGTAATAACATCAGCTATGTGACAAAAAAGACAGTGAGAGAATTTAGTCTCATTCTGTATGGTGATTCATATTAACCAATAAATAATAAAGCAACTTATTGCCACATAATAGTAACTATGTCTGTATAATTGCAATAGCCTTCTTTGCAGTATGGACTAACCCACATAAACAAGACAAGTGTTTCGGTTTGACTCTATTGTCTGCACTTTTTACCACTATTACTACGTCTCGTCTACGCAACAGTAATGAATAACAAATAACCAAAATTTCATACATCCACACAGATTGATGGCTTGTATTTTCAGTATTAGTCATGCTGGTTGTTTCGCCGGTATTTATAAAGAGGTTAGATTCTGAGTCATTGTGTTAGGGATATGCGCTAGAGATATTCTCTCTAACTTAATCTCGTAAAGAGCACCGCATTTGAATGGACTTAGACTTTTTACCCATTTTCACGTTGGTAAGGAGTGTAGAGTAATATTTGCCTGTATAGATGCAAGTGCATGTCAGTGTAAGTATTATATTAATATATTCTAACTAATTGCCAATTTTGTATATCAAGTCTCAGACGGCTGATGACATTATTCTTTTTGATTGGCTCAAGATTTACTATTGTAAAATCCTATTTAGTCGTAAGTGCTAACCTATTAATATTTTGCGGGACCTTATTACTAGACAAGTTGTAACTTTTATTCTTATGTATATCAAAGTTTTCATTTTTCTTGGATATTAACATGTATCAATATAGGTGTTTAACAAAATTGAGATTGAGAAAAAAGACTTGGTAGTTATCGCTTACGTGAGAACGCTGATTTTTTATACACTAACTAATAAAGTTGCCTTTCTCGCTATCTTGGTAAAAATTCAAAGTTTTGATTTATGTCATTCCAACTATTACGCAGAAAGCTTGATAAATTGGTTTTATTAAGCCAATCAAAGTCTTTCCGTCTTTGCTATTTAAAATACTGGATAAATGTTTTCTATCTATGTAGGTTCGTAAACGCCTGTTACGTATCTTATTTAAAAGGAGAAAAGGGTCCGTAAGTTGTAATTTGGTAAGTAAGATACATGACTTATTATGTAATGGTTCTGGAGTTATAACTTTGTCATCGAAGAATCAGTAAAGATAGAGTTGTTTGTAATCGGTCAATGAAAATGACGATAACCTAAAGTATTTACAGTAATCGTATTATTGTAGGATAAACTGGAAATCGGGATGTTATCGATTCTTCAACTACCCAAACTGCTGGCCATAAGGTCAGCACCATAAAACGGTAACGCCTCAAAACACTTCCTCATCCACTTTCGAGTGAGTTTAAAGGAAAGGGCTTTATATTATCAGTTATAGAAAGAGAAGGATTTTTTAGATTAGGAAAACCTTTCTATGATACTAAAACATCATTGTCAACGTACCAGTGGTTGGAGCCTATGTTGAGTTAGCCTTTCTGAGAACTCAATGGTACTTGATCTTACACTCATCCGGCGGCGCTTGTACTTATACACACAAATTGGCCTACTACGAATCAATAGTTGTCATATGATGCTTTCATCAATATCACCAACATAACAAGCGTCCTTTACTTACCTGAAGAACACATGTCTGTGTAAAAATCCATAATTTCTTTCGTTGGACATCAATTCAAAGCAGCCCAGCCTACATGTTATCTATTTATTTAGCACTTGTGTGGCTAAATGCATACTTTACAATTAAAAACAAAGCAAACCGGCGCGGCGGTGTAGAATAATTTAATGATATATAAGTCTCAATTGGTGTGCAATGCTAAAATAAGTATCTGGATGGAGAGAATTTGCTGAGTATTAGTGCAGCATATAATAGTTTGACATATCGTACGGCAATGACGCTATTCTAATTGAGAGAATAACAGTATGTGACGCGCGCCTAAGCCACACCTCCCTGCCAAAAGTATAAATACAATATTTTTCAAGCCGCTGACTCTCCACATTTCTCAAGCGAGTACTAATAAGATTTATTATTAACTATTTTAAAGCTAAATTATTGTAGTTTTAATTAAGAGGTATCAGCAATTTTAAGATATTGTTGTTGAATGTGAGGGATGAAAGCTTCACTTACTTAATAAATATTAAATGATCAACGTATTTATACTTTTGGCAATTAATGTCTTGAATGCTAATGTCTCTCAATTAAGACTGCAATTTTTAGCTTTAAAATAATAAGAAAACATAGAGTCAGTACCTTGAAAATTTTTTTGATATTACATACCGTATGGTTTACTAGAATCTTGTATTGTAATTATACTTTCGCAAGAGAGTGTATTTGTAGCTTTTGATATTCACTAATAAGCTCTTGTTATTACATCACGTAATATAGCTTTCTCAGAAAAAATTGCAAGTAAATTAATGCACCATATCTTTAATTATGCTGTTAAACTCATTGCTACACATACAATGTCTAATAAAAATCAGTTTATATATGGCTCACTCATACAAACCTCTCATATTCATATTATAAATATTATCTCGACAGCTGTAAGATTTAAATGATTACTGCGCTTGTAAATTGGTGCGGCTGTTAGGAAAAATTCGATTCCAAAAACTCTTGCCGTCTCTTGTGCATAATATAAATACTGTAACTCTTTTTTGGCAGTTGGGTGATTTGCTGAGCTTCCAATAACATCATATTTTGTTCATTGTATGCCATTGTTAATAAAGTAATTTGTAGTTATTTTTATAGAATATTTCAATTACTAAGTTTTGCTAACTGAAGGGAGTGTGAGCACATTTTCATTGTATGCCACTTATGTATTAGCCAATTTTTTTTATTGACATACTGATTAAAAATAGCCACTTACTAAGATTGAGTGCCTTTCAAACTTATTCATCAATAAGCCAGCCAATTTTGCGATATATTAATTTCCTTTACAGACCTTAAACAAATCCTCCTGTATATCTTTTTTGTTCTAGTCACAACAACACAACGAGCCCGATTAACTCATAGTACACCTTATGCCTCCTGAAAGTGTAATAGAGTCTTTCACAGGCTGCTATACTCATATAGACTGTGGGGCGTTCTTTTGTAAATATGTATCATCTTTTAATTACTTCATTATTATCTTTCTTGTTGCTATAATAAATCAGTATTTCTGTTCTGGGAAAATAATTATTTTCTGGCCATTGCTTGTGACGTTGACGCGCCAACCACCCACACAGTAGTGTAAATAATCTTGTCAATCAATTCCGAAATTAGAGAAATACGATTGTTAATTAATTGTTTACAAAAGCGTTTACTTTAGTGTAAAGACTTTTCTCTCTAGTTATCCTACGGGCTATCAACATTAATCCCAGCGATAACAGATAATTAAAAATTGAGGTCTGCGTATACGAAATTGGTTGTGAGTATTGAAAGACTGCTTGAAAAAGTCACTAGCTGTATTGTAGAGTTTGACGACGAAGAATTTGCAATCACGTTTGGTTACCGATTACTCTCTTGCGGCATTAGCTTGATATTGATTAACGAATTTATTGTATTAAACCATTTCTCTTGGTCAATAAACAATACCTGATTATAAAACTTTCTGAAATTTTATAGCACCAGGATCTGTTGTAAAAACATCTCAATAATACTACTGATGAATACTTTGTCCCATGTTGGACCCCGCCTATTGCAGCATAGGTTTGTCTTGGAGAAAATATTTGCTAGTGAAGCATGTTCGAAGTATAATGTTTTACATGTGATTCATTTTAACACAATAGCCTTTTGATTAAAATGCTATTTGCACCTTAAAATACTTTTATCTAGACTGACTACAACTCTAATTGTCTCATTACGATATCTACATGCTATATGATTCCAAAATCTTGCACATTAGTTTAATTTTAACCTCTATAAAGAACACAGTCAGGACACACCCAGATTGTGTTCTATCTATCATAGATGTGTTTTTTTATAGAATTTGTACGCAAGATTATGTAACTACACATTTATAACAATTAATATCGATCAAGTATTGTCTAGTTTTTGTTGATCTTTACAAATTCTTTACGAAGAGCATTATTGATTATAGCTCGTTTTTTTAGTGATCGTTCTGGCATTGAATAGGTTTTATAATCGACTGGGCCTAACATAGTAAGGTCCATTTCTCTGTTTATGCTTTTCTAAAAAAGATTAATGCTCAGTTGCAGCCAATCAACATGCAACGGCGCAGACATTTGTTCCTATATACATAGGTACAGTAACAGAGGTAAATATAAGCATTCTACAAAATAAAGAATTTACTAATCTATCAGATCTGTTCCATGATAAAATGTTCTTTATAGGAGGTTGTTTTTATGTCAGTATATACTGTACATCTGCATGCACCTCGGGAAATATTCCTAAACGTAACTCTAATCATAATCATAATAAGTAATCTATCAGTAAAACTACAAGATATACAATTGCAGCAAACGTTAACATCACATCACATCAATTTTTATACTTACGTTTACTAGATTATTGTGTTTAATTGTTTACATACTTTTTCTACCTTTGAGGCATCTACATTAGCATGCGTATAATTGTCGTACCTTGAGTGTACGCAAAACCGTCTGTACCCATTTAACTTACACCCCCGGGTACGTTAAGGATACCTATTTCAAAAATATTCCATCAACACCCAGCGGCTTGAAAAGTTAAGTGAAATGTTGAACCAACATATATCCAAGCTAAACGAATCCTCAGTAATCAGCTGTTGATAAACAGCTACTTATGCAAACGGAATAGGCGATTGGATAATACGATTCTGCTAGGTTCACGGTGACCTGCAGTTCGTGTACTCAAGCTGCATCTGAAACATACCACATTTTCATAATCACGAGCTGATCGACATTGAAAATTTTTGTGATTACTATCAAATCTATGGTGCGTCAAAAGTCTGTATTTCAAATACAGAAAATCTGTATTAAATACAGTTATTTAAAATACAGATTCTGAAAAATGCGGAATTTCATTTATGGTGCATTTAATTCCCAACAGTTTGGTATTAATTGATACTTTCATCCAATCATTTCGTAGCACAAAAGTGTACTAAACCATATCAGTGAATCCGAACCGGATCGATTATTAGTAACTTTATTCAACGAAATATACAGTATGACCCATGTAAGAATCGCATCGTCTTATTCTTAAAGTAAACGGTCACAAAACTCCAAATCAAAAACATTATTATTAAATACATCTAGAAAATAAACAATTGCTGCAAAAGCTGATTCTTCGAAAACGCAAAATCGATCTTCGTCGTCAATCACTAATAACTCAACAACCAAGAATCATATATTTATGAAATTCACACATTCGTTAAACATAACTGTTGTTGAGGTGTGTACCAAAAATTGACACAGAATATTAAGTACGATTTCAATTTCAATATTCCAATTCGCTTGATTCTTCAAAGACGCGAAATCGGTTTTCATCATAATCCGGAATAGCGCAACAACCAAGAATCCAATGTTATATACTTGTTAACCATAACTATTGTCGAGGTGTATACTAAAAATTGCAATCACTCTCCCAATCACTCTCCCAATCACTATCTCATTCTCTTTCAATCGCTCGCACGTTTGTTTAGTTACTCTTTTCATAGTGATTGACTCTTGATCTCTTTCTCTCACTCCCTTTCAATCCTCTTCTCTCTTGCAATCACTCGCTCTCTCTTATTCTTTTTCAAGTTCTCACTCTTTTGTTCTCTCTACTTCTTTCAATCGCTCTCTTGCCTTTCAATCATTCTCTCACTCCCTTTCAATCCTCTTCTCTCTTGCAATCACTCGCTCTCTCTTATTCTTTTTCAGTTCTCACACTTTCATTCTCTCTAATTCTTTCAATCGCTCTCTTGCCTTTCAATCATTCTCTCACTCCTTTTCAATCATACTTTCAGTCTCTCACTTGCTCACCACTCTCAATACCCACTCTTTTGTTCACCTCCTCTCTTTATCGTGACACTCTTTGCTATTTCACAATTACTTTCTCACTCTCTCACTCTTTTGATTTCTCATTCTGGCTTTATTTCTTTCTTACACTCTCTCGTTCTCTCTATCTCTCTCATACACACATTCTCACCTGTCAGTTCTTTCATTCTTGTTACGAGAAGTTACCCGCAATTGTTCGTAATGGTTCTGTAATCTCGTACTCACACCTTTCCAAAAAGGCTATAACTTCGCATTTACGTTTCTGCGAACTAGATTAGTGTCGCTGTGTCTTATATTAACCGGTCCGCTATAACATTTCTCCATAATAATACACTTTGTGTGCTACGAAATGATTGGATTAAAAGTATCAATTAATACCAAACTGTTGGGAATTAAATGAAATTCTGCATTTTTTGCCCATACAAATCGACTAAGAATTGCTAGTAATTATACACGTTTATACAGTAGTCAACTGAAGTGGTAGACAGATAAACAAACGCCTTGGAATGTTTAAAGAAATAAGAAAAAGTGATATGCGCAAATTGGGGGGGGGGGGGGGGGGTTTGGTATCACTTACAATGTTACGTATATATCAAGGTCTTTCAATTATTGTGTGAGTGATTGAAGTGGTTTGTCAGTGATATGCATTGAAATGTAAGTACTCCATTTGGATGCAAGACCTGTCCAGCGTGGGCAACTAAAAAAAAACACAGCCGAGCGGTCAATTTAGACTAAACCCGTTTGCAAAATAAGTAAATATTTAGCGCCAACAATCGGATATTTACCTTCAGATGGATGATGACCAGCACGTCTCAGCGGCGTCCAAATAGGACCTATTTTATCGAACAACGAGAAACACATCTATATTCCTGCCGGGAACATCTCGACAAGTCAAGATAATTCTCACCCTAATTCCATGAAAGATTGAGAGCGTGAAAGCTACGATTGCGCCCTCGAAATTATTTGCTTTGTTGCATACCTTTGTAGAAGAATTTGTGGTACGCAATATTGCTGCATTATAGTGTCAACCCGCAATTTATGAATAATGGCATGCCTGCATGCACCGACCTGCCTTTGTTCATATGCTTAACTATCGCGAGGAACTTTGTTCATATGCTTAACAACATCTTTGACAAGATAAATCATTCCTTTCCAATTCCGTTAAATTTTCAATTTTATTACGACTTGTATTTCCCAACCCAATACCTACCTGTTCAGAGGAATTATTGACAACTGCATCAATATCGATGGCATCCTTTTCGTAACCAAGTCTTTGCAAATCGAAACAACTTTTGTTTGAGCATCTTGTTTTGTTTCTTTTTCCTTTTCGCTCGCAACCAACCTGCTCTACTTTTTCAGGTACACAATCCCCACTCCTTCCGATGAAAAAATGTAGCCACAGATCTGCCGATACCCGAATCGCCGCCCGTGATCAATGCAATCTTCCCTTCCAATTTTCTTGCCGCCTTGTGTGGATTTAACGAACTATCGGTTTCTGTGGGCAAATGATGAACTAATTAATGGTTGTGGCTTTAATTCATGCTGAAGGCCTGGTTGCTACTGAACGGATTGTCTGGGTATCGCCGAGGCAGCTTCGATGGTTTCTGGTTGATCTTGAACGCTTTTTGTATCGATAATTAACCAAGAAGAGAGAAGGTTTTATATAATCGTTCGGGGTTTGTTTCGAATGAGATATGAGCTATGGTCATCAGAGGATGTATAAGACTGATATGTCATTGTGATGTGACTAAATTGATCACGTCAAATAAAAGTCGTTATAGATATGCTCGTTTAAACATGCATTTGTATCGCTGTACAATATTAGCATGCATGCAGTTATTCTGAAATGTCTTGCGAAATGGATAATAGTCTTGTTACAATTATTATGTTTCATTGTCAAAATATTTCATTGATAAGAATACATATTCTCTCGTTGTTTAATTCAATTCCAAATATTGCTTTGTGATGTTCGACCGAGTCACAAAGGGTGAGCTACACTATTCGTTCCGTGAAGTTTGAATCCGGCTTTTACCGCATGAGGTCTTGTTAAGCGAATCACAACGTTCAACAAATATATCTCGGCATGCATCCACCAATATAAAACCATAATCACCCGGCACACGTCGTACAGGCTCCTCCCATAACTAGGGCTGTATGATGTAATTAAAAAGTTCTGCCATGTTGGGAAAATAGACAAACCAACATGAGATATTTCCGCAGGCTGCAGGAAGCATATATAAACCGAGATGCTTGAGTGAGGTGGTTTTGTTTCTTAAAAATTTGACCTTTCCCGAACCTGTGTGGTTTATCATTGCATTGAAAGAGATTAATCATTCTTTTGAACGTCTCTTTAGAAGTCTCTTATTGATAAGAAGACTTAACAATATATCCACTACTCAAATCATACGTCATTTTTAGAATCACCCTTATACTCCTCTCTTTCAATCGCTTCGAAATGATTAGGTCAACCATTCTTTTATGTTTTCTCGTCATTTTCGGAATAATCAGTAGCATTCAGGCAGCTCCATTGCTACACAAAAGATTCGCCGGCCAGGCCACGTTTTATTCAGTCGGCCTTGGTGCTTGTGGAAAAACCAATAATGACAATCAATTTGTTGGTGCAATAGTAAGTAATTAATTAATCACAATACGACGCCAAAGACTTGCTTAGCAATGTTCACAATGGTCTTCTGTAAACATTCTCATATTCATATTTTTTTTACTCCAAATCAGAGCGCACATCGATTTGGCAATCCCCCAAACCCCAACAATTCTCCCTTTTGCGGTCGTCGAGTATCAGTTAATGGGCCTAAAGGTTCTGTCATTATTACCCTCGTTGATAGATGTGAAGGATGCAAGCCCGGCGATCTCGACTTGAGTCCTAAGGCGTTTAAAAAAATAGCTTCCTTGTCTGATGGCCGCATTCAAATTACTTGGAATTTCGCTGATTGACCAAAAACCTACACCAAAGTCTAGACGTAAAAATTGACACCATCGCCATCATTAACATCACCGGGCATCATAATAATTTCAAGCCGTAGTGTTTGAACTGTTCCAAGGTAGGAAAATCTCTGGTGGTAGCAATACGCTTGCCAATACGGAAGATCGTATAAGAGTGCTCTTAGTTAGGCTCTAGATCTTTTCTCTTTGCATACTTTTATTTTATTGGTTTCGTAGCCACAAAATTTGTACATATTTTTAGTGATGTTCAAGAAAATAATGACAAAGAGGTTTTCTTTTGTTTACTGTTCACCGACCGTAATCATTATTTTTACCTATCTTCTTAATTATTGTTACATGCTGTATTTGTATCATTAATGTCAATTTCATTTAAGATTAGAAAACAATAATTGGATGTTGTTATGGTACTTATTATTAGAGGCTTTGGATAATTATCCTTTATACCCTCGCAATCAAAGGAGAGTCTAGAATAAATCACCTGCACTCGATGTGTCAGGATACAAACGTATTTAGTAACGATTTTTTATGCATGTGAATGGTGAAGGCCTTAATATTGTTCTCGGAACAGACCCTCAGTAAGCCCATGACATTGGCATTTAAATTTTTAGTGGATACAGTATATTCTAATTTATGAAGCCCGCTCCTCACTATCTAGTAAAGACATTAAATTAAACTATTTCTTGAGAAATTAAAAATAGGATGCGCTATGACTAGGAACCCAATAGTTTCGCTAATACTGATAAATTGGCGTAAAACAATGCATTTATTTTAGCAAGGAATTTAGCTAAATCAGGTGTACTAGTACTGCCGATGAAGATAATTCCAATCTAGTGTTGCTTAACTGCTGCTGAGATTGTACAAATTAATTTGCTGCGGACTATCCTTCTGTATATGGAATCCAGTTAACCGAATTCAAAATTGTCATTATTATTCTTATTTGAAGAATATAGACGTGGAAATAAGAAAGTCTATGAAGTATCACTTACAAGCTAACAAGGAAATGATAGCTTTCTGGCCAATTCATTACAAAATTAAAATAAGCTTGGCAGTAACGAATGTATTACGACTAATTTCAAATTGCGATAATTCAATACTATAAAAATATTCCAAAAAAGAGCCTGCCATCAATGTTGACTACATAAGCAATTACTTTCACTTGTCCATTTTAATATAACCATTATATATCTTTCAACGTTTCTATGATTGTTTATTTGTTATCTTATCTTTTTGGTGTCAAACTCGTGGGGGTCACCACACAACTGCCAAATCAATAGTCAGGCTACTTTCGCTTTTTCTACTTAATATTAAGAACAAATTAAGTTTAATAGCGAAACTGAAGGAAATCAGTAATAGCAATAACATTATATCAGAGAAAATATTTTTGACTAAACATTATGTCGTTATTTGCAATCTAGAAGAGTAAGCAAAAGATCCATTGTTTCGGGTTTGCTAGGAGAAATAATAGAAAAGCAACATCAATATAAATTCGCTTCTTTTATCAAATAATTTGCTATCTTTGTTGGGTGGGCCAAGCTAGGTATAAAAAGTGCTCACTCAGTGGTACAAAAATTCAAGTGGCACAGCGAATACACATATTTGGTACACAAGATTCGACCGCATCGGAATAGATTTAGCGTCAGTTATAAATAAAAATATAGATGACCCGATATATCGAAATATGATGTCAGTTTAATTGCCCAGTTAATATTTCCCGATATATCGAAATTTGATGGGTGTCAAATAGTGAAACGAGTTAGATATATAAGCAGTCATAATTTCCCTTAGTAAATATAATCTTCAGCACTTTCAACATGTCTTGAGCGCATCCTCGGCATATTTAATCTATTTGTCCTCATCGTTATAATCCTTGTAATTAGAATAGCTCTTTGAATTCTAATAAATCTGTAATTAATATAAGTTGTTATTTTCGTTCATTCCCTGGTGAGTTTTACCGAATCGCTGATTAAGGGTAAAACGCTTTCTCGATTAGCGGTTAATAAGTTTGATCTTGCCATCAAACTTATCGGAACTTAGGCATCAGGATTATTATTAACGCGTTACTATTACTGAAGAATTCCACAACTGATAGATTTTCGTTAGCGAATCATAATCGAGTGTGTGATTCAGAGGTTGGATAGTGTCCAGAGCAAGCGTATTAGTCGAATTAAGTCCGTGAGTATTGATAAATCCTATAAGGTTACTAATTGGATAGCGATTTAACGATAGTAGTAGTAGGAACGAGCCTAAGAGCTCCGCCGCCGGAAGACGACTAAATCCCCAAGATCGTTACACGAACGCTCTCCACGTGTGGCGATCCAACAGTATTAAGCACAATTTTTGTTTCTCATTACATTTTTGCTGATATCCTTAAGATGTCATTGGCTGGCTGTCAACAATATAATGGTTTGCAAAGAAGCCTTTTCGTATTGATGTCTATATTTTTTATGTGTTTATTAGTAAAATCCCATGCTAATACAAATTAAGCACCTAAAGAACTTTTTACAATCCTTTTGCTTTTCTCACATTGGGTCTATCTTTAAATTGACAACAGAATATACATTTTAACTTGGAGGCAACTAGTAAATTGGCTACTCAGCTCTTTTTACATGTGTATTAATAAAAGCGTATAACAAGATTTCGGAACAATGGCATTAAAAAGTATTAGAAAATATAAGGAAATACGTGTAATAAAGTAGAAACTTTCAGATAACTGTCAAATTATCGATAGACAAAGTGGCGGACAATTTTGCCTCTTTAAACTTTTGAATGTAATCGGCTATACAATAAATTTCCACCGGAACAGTTGACCTCACGGGAAAATCGGAGAATAGACAGAACAGATAAAAGAAAGATTACTGTACGACTTCTTTAGTGATGAGGCATGCGTTTATATTACCGCATGTAAAAGATATATTTGGTGCGTAAATAATAATGTTGAATAATACTTACAAAAAGGAAGAATCAATATGCTCATTTAGACAGCTACCGTTACGTATAGTCTAGATAGTAATATTCATACATAACCTTCTAACATGTATTGGTTCAGATGATAAAATTGTTTATATTCTAGTTTTTTTACACCCGTTGGAAGTGTTTTGATTGTAAACTTACTTTCCAAAGTCTGCAATTTTTCTTCAGAATATAAACAGAACCAATGAAGATGTATATATACCTAATGTAAGATAGAGTTAGTATTGAATACACATACACTAATCAATGACTAAATAAACTATACTAATACTTACACCACTGATAGCAATTTCAATAATAATGTCATCTTCGGACAAAATGTTAACCGCGCAGGGTAAAATGTATTCAGTCAAGCCGGCTCCATCTTCAATATCCATATGATATCGTGTTTTCTCAGCAGATGTTTTTATCTACAAAATCAAATGCCTATATTATATATCTTTTATCATGACTAAAATCAAAAATACCTATCAATACTTACTATAATTACCAATGTCAACTTCCATCTATTGAATAACAAAATGCTGAGTTTGTAATTATTTGGAGGTACTTGGAATATGGGTACTGTCACCTTAATATATAATTTCTTGTTAGTCATAAAACCATGTTATACAACTTGTATTGATAACTAAACACTTACCTTATTAAATGAATCAACTGATAAATAATCCCGTTCACTATTAATAAGTGTTAGTAATATTTTATAATAAATATGGACAGATTAAATAAATCAGATTAAAATGAAACTTTAAGTGTCTATAATGTTAGCCTTTGTTTCTTGAGGCAACCCAGCATTTACATGATTTTTAGGCCACAAACTTTTTACTCATATCTAATATCTTCTGTTTCAGTTTAATCTGATTTTTGGCATAATGAACAATAGTTATTATAAATTACTTACAGAGAGCATCTATTATTATATGGGTCTTCAACATGACATTCAAACACAAAATGTGCTTTCAGATGATCTAATAAATATAAATTAATTAATATACTAATAATAAATAAAAATCAAGCAGATTGAATGCAAAATTTACTTTTATGCATATAATAAACTTTTTCAAAAAATGCATCTATGCCCCGATAATTATGTGTAGGGTTGTTGTGCTTGTTATACCAAATTTCAGCAGTATTGTACCATCTGGTGTAAGCATCTGTTTCAAACTGATATTGACACAATGATTGCCATTGATTGACATCATCCAAACTATGCATTGCCGTCATAGAGCAACTATCCACAAGAATTTTAAACCATTCCATATCAAAATGCTCAAGTTTGTTTACAAATTCATAAATTAGTTTAAAAGCCAATTCTTGGTAATATATAGAATTAATATGTCTTATATCCTTTTCAACTTTCTTCTTATCTGCAAGACTCAAATGTGCCTTTAAGCTCAAGTACCAAATATCATCATAAATATTGTTCACTTCAATTGCTGTCTCAATATCAAACAAAGCTTTTTCAAAATTTCCCATTCCCAACTTGATGAGTGCTCTATTATGTAGAGCTGGGTAATTTGTGGAACTAGCTTGTAATATCTGTGTGTAGATGTTTAAAGCCTTTTCCAAGTCCCCAATGTTATGTGCAATTTTTGCCTTTTGAAGTAATTTGTTTGTATTTGGTGTTGTTATTGACTTCCAGATTGAACTCCAAATAAATTTGGAATCATGCTTTCTCATTCTCTCCTTTCCTTTTTGTTTTTTAATATCATGATACTCATCAAGTATTTCTGTAAATGCATTGTTTTTGGTGCTGAAATTCCAGAAATCTTGATCATCAGTCTCTGTAATATAGTGCTGAATCTTGTTGTATATGGTCTGTTGTGGTAAGTAATATACTTCATTCTTTCTAACTTCAGTCCTACAATAAGGGCATCTGAGTTTTGCTGATGACACTAAAACAGTTAAACTAATCAAATGTTGACAACTAAGCTGACATATGCCATCAACTATTTTATAGGTAATTGTGCATGTGAGATCTTCTGTAATATAGTCAATTGGACTCTTATCACATTTTCCTT